CATGGAAGAGATCCCCAAGAGTGAGCATAGGGAGAGAAGCAGCAGCCCACCACGGACTGAACTCTGGGACCTTCCAATGTTAAGAAGTGATGGAGTACAAGATAAACCAGTAAAGAAGACTGAGAAATGAAAAACAGTGAGGTGGTGTTTAATACTGTACAATTAAATAAACGGTGGTTCCTGTCTTTGTTATCTTCAAAAAAAAAAAAAAAAAAAGAAAATTTAAAAGACAACTTAAGTGTCTTAACTTAATTTGAAAATTTAAAAGACATTTAAAGTTTGAAAATTTAAAAGAAACTTAAAATCTTAAAGAACCATCATTACTTACACTGACATTGTGCTAAAGACATAAAGAGGTTTAGCATTAAAGATTAATAGAATACCACATATACTTGAGAATAAGTAGCTAATTCTCTTAAAAGAAAATTATATATAGTTGTCAAAAATACCTATGTTAGAAATGTGTTCTAATAATATTTTCTTTAGGGATGAAATTCAAATGTGTTCTAATAATATTTTCTTTAGGGATGTGTTCTAATAATATTTTCTTTAGGGATGAAATTCAAAAGAAAACAGTAAAAGCTGAGCTATTAGAAGAGGTCATGAAAAGGGAATTGCACTGAAACAAAGTGTGCCAGAACACAGAGACTTGGAATATTTAGCACATCACCTTATATTTTTCTCCATGACATTAGATAAAAGATGTCAGCTTCTCCAAACTGCTCGTCTGTAAACGACTTCTGATTGAAACTCGAAACTCTCGAAATGTGGCTGTGTTATGATTCCATGTCGGAGGGAGTCTGGATGTATGTGCTTTGGACAAGCTGGGTCCAGTTACTGCTGCCAGACTTTTGTTTCAGAAAGGATCCAGAAGAACTTATCAGGGATTTCAGTACAAATTAAGTATTTCCACAAGGAGCTGATAAGAAGACCACTCACACATTACCCTTAGGTTTTGACAATTCAGTAAAAGTGTGGGCACATGTACTCAGAAGTCAAGACCATTTTCCCTGACCCTGTGCATGTAGCTTCTGCAGTTACAAAAGAGTTAGGCGGGATCTTGGTAGATTTATTCCTCCATATTTGGACACCAGACATACCAATCACATCAGTGGCCCACATTACACCTCAAAAATGGTTCTATTGAAAGGGGCACCGCCAAAGAGCTTTTAAAAGTTCAATCTAATTGACTTTTTAGTAATCTTACTTGTCAGAATTCATACTCCCTCCTTGAAGTTCTCACATTTTTTATTTTTGCAACATCACTTCCTCTGACTCCTCTCCTACTTTTCTCTAGCCACTGCTTTCTCCTTTAGCAATTCTTTTTTTTCTGGGGGCAGGAGGGAATGTTAACATTCCTAGGGTTTTGTCACTGGATGCCTTCTCATTCTACATCTGCATCATGGACAGCTCATTGAGATTGCTGACTTTGCCTAATAATTATAATAACATCATTCTACGTCTGCAACTCCAACCTCAGAGTTGGAGGGAAGGGAAGTTATTCTTCCCTATTGACCAGCTGTACTTCTCCATTCACTGAACACATCCTACTCCTTTCTCATGTGCAGTATAAAGGCTGGTACACAACCTGGAAACGTATGAATGATCCAAGATTTCTCTCTCCCCACTAATGTTTTACATTCAGTAAATCATATTAACTGTACCTCTTTTCTGTTTCTGCTTTATATTTCTACTGCCACCAAATAAATATGTTTATATTTCCTAGATCAAGATGGCCTCTTCACTGATGGTTTTCACAGGAAAAAAAAACCCCTACCAACTCTTATTGTTTTTTTATAAATAAAAAATTAAATAAAACAAAGAAGGCCTGGCAAGAAAAAGACCAACATTTTAAAATGAGTAAATGGAGTAAATTTACTTTATTTTACCATGAATGGGTGAATACCTTACACTAGACTGATAGTAGTTTAAGGACTGAACTACAAGGAAACTACAGCTTTAACTACTGCAAAAGCTTCTTTTCTCTAGCTTACTTTCTTGTACTCAGAATACAATATGTAATACATATAACATATCAAATATGTATTTTCAACAGCATGGGGATTGGCAGCACTAAATCCCATGTTGTTGAAGGGTCAACTGTATTTACTGATTCAGTTACTAACTGCAAAGAATTTATTTTACAAATTAAATAGAAGTTCTAATTATATAAAAAGTCTAATTCATTATAACGTGACTATAAAGAAAACATATAACATAATAACTTAAAAATTTTCTTATTTACACAAAAAGATCATCTAGACTATTAGGAACCATAATTAAACAATAATTTTTTTCAAACAATACTGAGAGTATAAACTACCTACAATTAACTTTTTAAATAATTATAAAATCTAGACTACTAAGAAAGTATTTTTTTAAAGTGTGCAATTTAAACAGTGATTTTTTAAAACTGCTTTTTTGTAACCAGAACATCTTTATTCTTTTTAATCCATGGTAGTACCATCAAGAATAATTCACTATCAGAAATCTTACCTGGATTGCTATTTATAGGAAGCTCTTCAGATGTCTTTTCTCTTTTGTATTCAGAAATTAGTCTGAAAATGCTATGTATAAAAACAAATGAGATTAATATTTTAATACTATTATCAAAAACATTTACCAAATATACTAAATTATTAGAGTATCTTAAACAATATCAGGATGTTAATTATCCTATACACTTCTCTTCTATAAGCTCTACAAACTTCTTAGTACCTTTCTAATTAAATAATAAAAACAGGTGAAGTACTCATGAAGCGAGCGCAGCAAACTATCTCACATCGGCCTGACATAATGAAAAGTCACCTCCCTGGCTCTTACTGGTAGGTCCTGGCTCTATAGCCAACAGGTATTTGCTCTTATAAATTGCTTCTCTTAGGCGCCATGTCTTCTTCTAGATTTTACTGACTTCTTTCACTAGGTTGTTATATAGGTTTAATGAAGTAGCATTTTTAACATTCACAGAGAAATAGTAAAGCAGTGGAATTTGCTCTTGAACTTTATTGCTGAAACTATTCTGAAATCCCAAATCAAACCCAATATGTAGTTTTTCA